CCTCGACCTGCTGGGCTCAGGCGAGCCTTCTGCCTCAGCCTTCCAAGTAGCTGGAACTACAGGTGTGCGCTACCATGCCCCGCTAATTTTTTATTTATTGTAGAGATGAGGTCTTGCCATGTTGCCCAGGCTGGTCTCGAAACCCTGGACTCAGGCAATCCTTTTGCCTCTGCCTCCCAAAGTGCTAGGATTATAGGCGTGAGCCACTGCGCCCAACTAAAAATATGCAGGCTTTTTCATCAGACTCTGGATGGAGGCTTGCCAAGATGGTGTTCCCTGTAGATTTAATTTCAGCAACAGATAGCATTGAAGTTGTATAAAAAACATGAGCAATTAAATGCAGTGATTTTGAGAACAGCTATCAATTTTTTTTGCATCTGAAGTGAATGTTCAGATTTTTAAAAAAATTTTTATTGGCCGGGCTCAGTGGCTCAGCCTGTAATCCCAGCATTTTGCGAGGCCAAGGCGAGCTGATTGCTTGATCCCATGGGATCGAGACCAGCCCGGACAACTTGGCAAGACCTCATCTCTACAATAAATAAAAAAATCAGCCAGTCGTGGTAGTGCATACCCGTAGCTCCAGCTACTTGGAAGGCTGAGGCAGAAGGATCGCCAGAGCCCAGCAGGTCGATGCTGAGGTAGCCATGAGTGTGCCCCTGCACTCCAGCCTGGGTAACAGAGTGGGACTCCAACTCAAAAAAAATTTTTTAAATTTATTTTTAAGGTATTGACTTTGCCACTCGTAAGATAGCCAACTTACTGAAGCCTCAGAAAGTGATTGAGCAGACTGGGGATTCTTTTACCATCCGCACATGCAGCAGCCTAAGGAACTACCTTGTGAAATTTACAGTCGGAGAAGAATTTGATGAAGATAATAAAGGCCTGGATAACAGTAAATGCAAGGTAAAAATTAAAGTAATGACAAGGTTAGGCCAGGTGCAGTGGCTCACGCTTGTAATCCCAGCACCTTCGGTGGCTGAGATGGGAGAATTGCTTGGGCCAGGAGTTCGAGACCAGCCTGGGCAACATAGCCAGCCCTTGTCTCTACAAAAAAAATTTAAAAATTGGCTGAGCATGCTGGTACGCATCTGTAATCCCAGCTACTGGGGAGGCTGAGGTGGAAGGATCGCCTGAGCCCAAGAGGTCAGGGCTGCAGTAGCCATGATCGTACCACTACACTGCAGCCTGGGTGACAGAGTGGGAACGTGACTCTAAATAAATAAACAAATGTAAAAGAAAAAGTAATAATAAGGTGAACTTGGCATTCTACTTTGCAACACTTGAGCCCTTGGCTTCCTTGTCCCCTTGTCAGCCTCTGGGGCTGTTCTCAGAACTTGAGGATCCTGCCAGAGCAAACCAGTATTTTTTCTTCTTCATGCAGAGCTTGGTTGTCTGGGATAATGACAGGCTCACCTGTACCCAGAAGGGGGAAAAGAAGAACAGAGGTTGAACCCACTGGATTGAAGGGGACAAACTCCACCTGGTACCCACCACATTTTGTTTCTATTTCTGATAGGATGATACAACATCCCAGGAGACGTTACACGGGAAGTCATGACCAATAATCCCACTGTCCCAGTGCAACTGTTTTCAGTTCTGTGTGTGACCTTCCCATCTTTGTTAGAACATTCTGCCTTTTAATTTAGTATAAAAACATTTTCCAGGATTTCCCTGTTAAATTCCCTATGTATTTATTGAATAAAATAGAGTAGTAAACTGGCTGCATAATATTTCATCAAGTTGATGAACTGTTATTTTAGTAATACATTTCCTTTATGTAAGTGTCCAGGAATATTGTTTCAGGGTGTTTTCTGCTATTGCTTAAACTCACATACATAGAGCTTTTTGCATCCGTGTATTTATTCTGTTAGGATGAATTCACAGATGGGATCGCTGTTGCCAAAGAAATATGTACCATTGCTTTTGCTAGTTGAATGCCTAACTCACTTCTCAAAGCTTGCATCAGTTTACTGTGCCTCCAGTGCTATATAAACGTAGAATTTATAGTTCAAACATATCAGTATTCTAAAATATGATTTGGGAGGTATAACATTGTACCTTAAGGTTTAACCTTTTTTTTTTTTTTTTTTGAGTTGGAGTCTCACTCTGTCTGGAGGCACATTCACGGCCACTGCAGCCTCAACCTGCTGGACTCAGGCAATCTTTCCACCTCAGCCTTTCAAGTAGCTGGAACTACAGGCATACGCTACCATACCTGGCTTATTTTTTGATTTATTGTAGAGGCAAGGTCTCACCAAGTTGCCCAGACTGGTCTCGAACCCCTGGACTCAAGCAATCCTCTCACCTTGGCCTCCCAAAGTGATGGAATTACAGGCCTGAGCCACCGCGTCCAACCCAAACCGTGATTTTTAAAGTGAGAATTCCTTTCTGCCATATATAATTGCTTACACAGGTGATGATTTCATTTCCAATGACTATACTAAATCTTCTGAGGGCATGATGACATTTGGTCTTCACCATAATCCTGTGAAAGTGACACTATGTTTCCCATTTACAAATGAAGAAATTGAGATTTTGAAATTCTTCGAGGCTGCTGTCAACCTGAATAACAAGGTTAACTTGGCATTCTACTTAGAAATACTCGAGAATTCTTTTCAGATAGAAAGGATCCGAATCCAGTTTACAAGAGTTTATTCGACTGGATGCCATGGTTCATGCCTGTCCTAGCTACTCAGGAGGCTGAGGCAGGAAGATTGTTTGAGCCCAGGAGTTTGAGGTTGCAGTGAGCTGTGATTGTGCCACTGCACTGCAGCCCAGGTGAGAGTGAAGCCCCGACTCAAAAATAAAATAAAATGAAAGTTTATTCAAGCACAAAGCTGAGGATAGCCATGTGGAATACACAGGCTCCAAAGAAACGGGGCCAGTGCTCCCAAGCTGAAAAGTTAGGATTTTATTATATAAACAGAAAACAGGGACATTCAACAGGGTTATATTTTTCATATAATACTGGCTTAGGAATTATAGCAATTTGATTAGTTACAGCTTCCCCTCCCCCCTCTTTTCCAATTTAAAGGTTATATATAACCTTCCAGTTGTGAATACTCGTGAAGTTGTGAAGTCTTTGTGCAAGAGAAGAAAGACATTAATCTATAATGAAAATCAACAGTAGCCGGGCTTGGTGGCTCAGCCTGTAATCCCGCGCCTTTGGGAGGCTGAGGTGAGTGGATTGCCTGAGCCCGCGGGTTCGAGACCCGCCTGGGCAACCTGGCGAGACCACATCTCTACAATAAATAAAAAATTAGCCAGGCGTGGTAGCGCACACCTGTAGTTCCAGC